TTTTTTTTGCACACAAAACGTATTCTCGTAGCTTCGTATAATTGCGGTTTAACCACTGATGTCACATGGATTACTTTACAGATCTCCTTGCTACGTTTCTGGACTTGGGAACATTTCAGTTGCGCTGCTGTCTATGAGAGGGTCAGACAGCTCTCAGATTCCATCAAAAATATCTTAATTTGTGTTCCGAAGATGAACAAAAGATTTACGGGTTTGAAACGACATGAGGGTGAGTAATTAATGACAGAATTTTCATTTTTGGGTGAACTATCCCTTTAAACGTCAGTGGTCAGAAGAGCGAGGTTTAACGCACCGTTCTGTCTCTGCTCTGTGCTGCAGTTCTGTCTCTGATCCTGATGGTTGTGATCCGCTACATCTCAGTGGTTCTGGTCTGGATTCTCACAGCTGTCGTGGTGGTCGGGTCGATTGGTGAGACTTTGGTATTACATAGAAATAAATGAAAGGACAAGCAGCCACTGTCGCCAGCTGAAAGTCATAAAGAGCCCGTGATGTGAGGCAGCGCTGTGTTTGTGGCAGGTGGGACGGGGATCTTGTGGTGGCTGTATGTGGATCAGTCAAAATCTGTGAACGTCACTCTACCGGCTCTGGAACTGGAGGTGGCCAAAGACAACCAGAAAGCCCTGCTCATCTACGCCATCGCTGCCACTGTCTTCACGGTAGGTTTGGATTTGCATACTACTATATGAACTGCCAAACGCCAAGAATTTTTAATGTGTAAATATGTAATACTCAGGTGATTCTGCTGCTGCTGATGTTCTTCATGAGGAAGCGTGTGGCGCTCACCATCGCTCTGTTTCACGTGGCCGGTAAAGTGTTCACCTCACCATCGCTTTCACGTGGCCGGTAAAGTGTTCACCCATCTGCCTCTGCTGGCCCTGCAGCCCGTCTGGACCTTCCTCACGCTCATGCTCTTCTGGGTTTACTGGATCACTGTGCTCCTCTTCCTCGGATCCGCAGGTCTGTCAGAGCAAACGAATGAAGGTCTGGGGTGGGCGGCATTTCCGGTAGTTGATTGCAGGGCTGAACTATATAGCTTCATATCTCAGTTATGTATTTGCTCCAGTAAAGTACATTTTAAAATGACAGAACTAAACAAAATGTTGTCCGTGATACTCGAGGCATTTTTCCAGTTTAATATTTGTTTGTTTGCATCACAATTCAAAATGCTTATTTCTAACTCTATAATATTGTTGTTTATTACAGCGTATTATAACATTGGTACATATATAAATATTGGTACATATATAAAATATATGATAATTATTTTCATGTGCCGATGTTATAATAAATATATAAGTAAATAATAAATGTATT